ATGGATAAATCTGACGACGCAAGAGAGAACTCAATTAGGTCCGGTTTTCTGAGCGCAGACACTGAAGCCACACAGAACACAGAAAGCGCCTCTCACAGCGCGCGAGTACTCTTTCGCGTTGCATGAACGGAGAATTAAATGATGTCTGATGTCGAATTGTCCGTTTTGACGAGTATTCATTTAAACACAGTTGATTACGTCTTAAGTGAACGTAAACAGTAGGGAGAACGTGTATCAGGACATTGCATCCGTGCATTCGGTTTTAAAGGGACAGCAGCCTAATTTAGTTGCTATTGTCCGAGTCATTGATGTTAATCAAGCAACAAAAGAAAGACAGAAAATCACGCACTGCTCTTGACTGAAAAACTTTAGTAGCCCTAAAGATTCATCTAAATTTATTTATATAAATAAATATGTCTGCTTGAAAGAATGAAGAATATGGTAAACAAGTTGCTATAAAGAATGCATAATTAGCCGATATAACCATTGGTATTTCATTAATAAGAACACCATGTTCTTGTTCTTTATGAGAAGTGCTTTTATTTAATTTGATCAATTAGGCATGTTGTGTGTCACCGCAGTTAAATCAGTGTCTATCATGATAAAACCTTAAAATCACACCTATATAATGAGTTTGGACATTTTAGAGAAATGCTTAATAAATGCATGACACTGTACCTAAACCCATTAGATTTTAGCCGACTAAATTTACTGTAGATTTTAGTCGACTAAAATCTTATGATATTTAGTCGACTAAAACTAAAAACAATTCAGATGACTAAAACTAAATGGCATTTTAGTCAAAAGACTATGACTAAAACTAAATCAAAATTTGCTGTCGAAATTAACACTGCTTGACAAGCATAATGGCTTAAGATATTAAGTATTGTTTTCTAAAAGAAATAATCACAATGTAGTTAGTTTTTGCTTAAAACAAGCACAAATATCTGCCAATGGGGTAAGAAAAGTCATCTTAATTCAAAGGCTAAACAAGATTACTTTTCTTACCCCATTGGCAGATATTTGTGCTTGTTTTAAGCAAAAACGAACTAAATTTTTATATTTTTTCCAGAAAACAAGACATAATATCTTGAGTAAAGTGAAGTCAATGCATCTTGATTCAAGAACCTTTAGATATTTATGCTAGAAAACAAGACAAACATACTAAGTAAGAAAATCATTTTTTGCAGTGACGTGCATAAGTTAAAATAGTTTTGTATTGTGTTTTATTGTTTTGTTTATTAGTTTTATTGTATTTATTTCACATCTTCGAAATAAAGTCTCAAAGTCAAATTCTGTTTTTATAACTGGATTCTGTGATTCCGTATGGGACCCTAGGTCATGTGCAACCATCGTTTACAAATCTGAGAGTGACGCAGTGTGTTTATGCAGACGTGTATCAGCAAGAGCGTGGGTCTCTTTCTCCTCTCTTTCTGCGTCGGGCGTCTCGAACGAATCTCCGCTCAGTTTAATGTAGCCCTTACTGCCTGATCGCTCCAATCTGGGACAGCTGAACCTGCGCGAGCCGTCGTACAAACACCTGGCGCCTGAATCCGTCAGTGCGTTCAGAGACAGCTGCGAAAGCCACATCCGCGTCCCTGAGACCTCCGCTTTGGCTTCCAGCGTTGCGACGCAACTCCTGCGCCGCGAAGGTTCGTTCTCCTGCACTTCGCAGTTGTTGAGTTTGATGACGGGGAGCGTGAACGCATTGACCGACGACGTGACGATGGAGCGTGTCTCCCACTCGCGCGCTCCCTCGGGTCCATGATATATGCTATAAATCGTGTCCGCGAACGACTGGCGCTTCGCAAACACGCTGTGTTTTCTCGCGCACGATGGGCGTCTGTAGTTTCGCGGAGACGCGGGTTTATCGCTCTTCGATTGCATGATGAGGCCGTTGAACGGGACGCAGTCTTTTGCGCGCAAACTGTGAATGTCGATGACCGTGGAGTAAATGTCTCGCAGGTTGATTATTTTGGTTTTCTGATCGCGATCCTCGTGGAGAACCGCGTTGGCGCAGATGAACAGGAAAATCCCGATGCCCATCACTAACGGTCCGAAGACTTTGAGGTCATCCGAGTATAAATAACTCGCAAACAGGCTTTCGAAAAAGCCAGATGAGGTGTTTGCGCCGTCCAGCTCGTTTGATATCACTAACTCATTATTGCTTGTGAGGTTCTCCTCTTTTATTCGTCGCATGAATTTCTCGTTGTTTGCTCTGGGCCAGTATCCCAGTACAGCCATGACGATGCCGATCATCAGGATTAAAACGCCCAGCGCCGCCACCAGCCCAGAGATGGAGCACAGCTTCACTTTGCCCTTCACCACCACCACGTCGTTCTTGCGCTTCTTCTTGGCTTTCCTCTTCTTCTTGTTCTCCGCGCGGTTCTTGGTTCGCAGCGAGTCCTGGTGCCGGGAAATCCTCAGCAGCCCGCCGGTAGCGATCATCCTGCCTATTGGTTCACGGGGCTGTCAATCATCCTGTGGGCGGGACGCAAAGAATACACATCACACACAAACTGTGCTGTTAAATAAAATAAAAATAAAAGTTGCAGTTAAATGCCCCCTTCTGTTCAAGGTTAAGTACTGCATATACTGTTGATGGTGATCCTGGAGCACAAAACCAGTCATAAGGGTCATTTTTTAAAATTGAGATTTATAAAACGGATAGTTCCGGTGCTTGATTCTGCGTTCGAAGCTGTTGTAAATGACTCTATAAAGTACCATACACCTTTGTTTACGTTTGTGTGTTGCTCGGCAACCACTTTGTAGCAACCACAACTGTTTCTGAGGAGCTACATTGTTTGGTGGAAGAATACTGTTTTTATTAATATCATTACACTTTATTTGCTCTGTTTTATTTTGTGAAACCTTACTACGTATATGGAATAACCGTTTTATAAAAGCAATAAGCCCCAAGAAGCCGTGGTTTACAGTGAATTTATAACAGCTAAGGGGGTTTTAGGCACGACGTGATGTTATAAATTCACTGTAAACCACGGCTTCACACGGCTTATTGCTGTATTATACAACATCTGAAAGCTGAATAAATAAGCTTTCCATTGATGTATGGTTTTTATCATTTTAATTTTTATACTTTGTTAGGATGGCATCACAAGTGTGAGCCAGGGTTTCAGCAGTAGCAGGGAAGAGCATGTGGTTGTGGCTGTTGTTCCTCGATTTGAGTTGATCCGAACACTGCAAAAAATGATTTTCTTACTTAGTATTTCTGTCTTGTTTTCTAGTACAAATATCTAAAGGTTCTTGAATCAAGATGCATTTACTTGACAGGTGAAATGACTTAAGATTTTAAGTCTTGTTTTCTAAAAAAGGATCAAAATGTTGTTAGTTTTTGCTTAAAACGGGCAAAAATATCTGCCAATGGGGTAAGAAAGGTAATCTTAATTCAAAGGTTAAACAAGATTATTTGTCTTACCCCATTGGCAGATATTTTTGCTCGTTTTAAGCAAACACTAACAAAATTTTGATCTTTTAATTTTTTTATTTTATTTTTTAAAATCTCATCTAGATTTTCCAGTACAAATATCTAATAATTCTTACATCAAGATACTTTTCCTTGAGATGCACAATGACTTTTTTAGTTTTAGTTTTTTTTTTTCTGAAAAATTGATCAAAATGAAATGAGTTCATGGTTAAAAAAGGAAAACAAAATCATCAGTCAAATGATCATCAAAAATGAAGTTTATTCAAAGACAAAACAAGATTATTTTTCTGACCCCACTGACAGATTTTTCTATGCATTTTCATTTCTGACTTTTAACTAAAACTCCTTGTGCCTCTCAAGTAAATGTATCTTAATCAGTGTTATTTTAGTATCATTGATATATGATTATATTTTTTTAATATCTTGAATTAGATTTTACATTTCTCTTTTCATTATAATTTTAGTTTGTTTTAGTAATTTTTATTTTTTTTTTTACCATTTTTTCCATATGACTATTTTTTACTTAAGCTTTAGTTTATTTAGTTTTAGTTACTTTAGAACTTCAACTTAAACTGACCAAAAATAAGAAATGTTGCCTTGACAACTAGATGAAATAAAATAAGGTGAAATTATTTTATTTTATTATTATTATTATTACTATTTTTTTTTTTTTACATTTTATTTATTTCAGTTAGTGTTTTATTTTTATTTTTTTCAAGTAATCAAAATATTTGTAATGTTTTAGTTTTAGGTTTAGTTAACAAAAATAACCCTGTTTTTGAATAAAGAATTTTTAGATATTTATACTAGAAAACAGGACAAAAATAAGAAAGTAAGAAAATCACTTTTGCAGTGTTTGTATTTCAGTAGTTGCCCCTAGACAGCAATGAGATTAGATGGAGAGCAAAATGAGATGAAAAGACCCCAGTAATCTCTTATGAGTTTCAGACGAGATCTCAACCGTGTCTCGAACTGGGCTCAGATTTGCCAGGATACAAAAGTTTGCAAAATGAACTCCATCATTCCTCATCAAATGATAAATAATAAATAAACTGCTTTCCACGTTCATATTATAATCCTATATTCTTACTGGTTGAAAACTAGTGACTCATGTCAGTTGTTATTAATATTACTTTTTCAAGAGCAACTTCTAAAATAAAGATGAGCTTAAAAACTGAACTGAAACATAACTTAGAGCTCCATTACATCCCTTTAGATTTAGAAGAGCAAACTCTGAGCAAAACAGCCAGCACAGTTTTTCATTATGAAGCAAAGCTGACTTATTTTTGTTCAACATGTTATTTTAATTATGATCTTTTATTAACACTGCATCTGTTTTTTATGAACACATGCAGTTATTCTCATTTGTTTGTAATATTCAGATGATTCCAGTCAATGATCATCAATGATGGAAGCAGATGCTTCATGCAGACAGATGGATACGAAAACACTCAACGTCTGAAATTACAGATATAACAGCGAGTTCCTGACAGCCTAAGGCGGATATCATTGGATTTGATCTGTTTCTCTCTAATATCTTGTTATCACCAGCATCCTCACTCTCATAAATCCATCCCATTTCTTTCTTTAAATTCTCAGATTTTACATGCACCGCCTCACGAACCCACTTTTATACATTTCAATCAAATAATCAATTACAGAGGCAGATGACATCACCTGATTGCACTGACTAATGTATAATTCACCAGCAGGATTTCAATTTGCCTAATCCCTCAGAATCATGCCTGCCCTACAGTGATGTTTTTATGAATAATTCATGGCGTGAGAAGTCTTCATTAAAACCGTCATGACACACGGTCGGTGGAAATGTCAGCGTCTACGAATGACAGACGTGAGTCAGACCCCCTTCAGAAAACGTCAATGAGGGCCGACGGGGATCGTGACGCTTCACAGATGCTTTCAACATCTCCATACTGCAGCAAAATGACAATGATAAAAAAACAACAACCTGCGGGAAATAAAACCAAATCAGCAACATTAAATATGGAAAACTGCATTGTAAAAATGCAAAATGCATGTTAAATATCATGTCTAAAGACCATACTTGTGCCACACTAAAGGGAAATACACAGAACACCAAACCAACTGCATAGCAACGCCCTGGCAACCACCCAGAACATCCAAACAACCATTTACAGTAGCAACACTCGGAACGCCTTAGCAACTGCATAGCAACGTCCTGGTAACCACCCAGAACATCCAAACAACCATTTACAGTAGCAACACTCAGAACGCCTTAGCAACTGCATAGCAACGCCCTGGTAACCACCCAGAACATCCCAACAACCATCTACAATAGCAACGCCTTAGCAACTGCATAGCAACGTCCTGGCATCGTGGCAGTGAGTTTTGCATGGACACACGTTAACTTATTGTCATGAAATCAAAGTGACATGAATCATAAACTCTCTGCAGCTGAAGCAGACAAAACAAACTCCAGCAGCCACTTGCATTGGATTTTTAGTAACTATCTGTGGATTTATGTCCATAAATGCTGGACTGAGGAAGAACAAACACAATGCTTGTCTTAAAATAATGAAAAGGTTGAATGCATTGATTAGCAAACAGTCATGAAGCTGGCACTGATCTGTCTCCGCTGCTCTGTGTCTTTACACAGCGTGTCCCGATCTGCCTGAGCTCGTCTGTGTTTATAGGCGGCAGAACAACGAGCACACACTCTCACACACTCCACTCAACCCACCATACCGCCGATCCATACGGCAATCCAGGGGCGTAGCCATCATTTCAGAAGTGAGGGGGACAGAAATGTTTTATATATATATATATATATATATATATATATATATAACATTTCTGTAATCTATATAACAGTAAGATTTTTTATGTTTTATAAAGAAGTCTCTTCTGCTCACCAAGCCTGCATTTATTTGATCCAAAGTACAGCAAAAGCAGTAATGTTG